CTTTTAACATAGATAAAAGCAGAATAGAAATTCGTTCTCGGAGCAATACGTCGCTTTCGCGTTGCTTATTTCGCTTCTGGTTTCGTATTTCTTGAACGTGCAACCGGTCTCAGCCCAGCGGCGAGAGTGAAAGTGATTAATCCTATCAAGGGCCATTAATATTGTGGCCAGACAATGAACTTGACAGCCGCCTAAAAAAAAGGTACACCGACGGTGAAACAAGTCAGAACAAGTACGAACCAAATCTCAGTGGCATGCAAATAAACCGTGGTATTTACTGGGGTCCATTATACATCACGTTTATATTTTTTTTTTGTATAAATTGTGTGACAATTGTAAACCTTTTGAAAAAAAAAATGAAAAATTCACAAACGTCCTCTTTCTGAATCATTGTCACCCAGATCTAACCTATCCTAGATTCGGATCCTTGACCACACAAACATCAGTTATTTGGCATTGAGCGAATGTGATGTGCAAATTTAATTCAAACAAATCAGACGTGTCTCGTTACACATCAACACCGACTGTTTAACAGAGCATAACATTCAAACGTCTACTTGTTAACGAACATAAACTCGAATATGCAAACGACGTGTTAATATTAATTAAAGACAATTTGCTGTTGCGAAAACTAGAATGTGCGCGCAGGGTATATGCACCTGGCAGGTAAAGTCAACATCCTCGCGACCGCCGTTGTTTCGCAACTAAAGGGATATTTTCGGTGACATTTTTGGCGGATTTACAAAAAGAAAAAACAAAACATAATTCGCAGAAATACAATCTTTACATACTAACTCGAATTCAATCAAAATGAATTTATATGAACGATAGCTTCATTTATTTATTTAATAATAGTAAAATAATTCCGAAATTGAAATTTTAATTAATATCTCGTTTAACAATAATTTTTGTGGCATTTTTGTAAATTAGATGCATTTTTTCTGGGGTTCAGGGCTATTTCTACGATGAATAGAAGCCGAGATATTGCAAAATTTTACAGCGCGCATCAATTTGAACTTGTCTTATCTTGGCTCCTGTTGATCGTAGAGGGTGTTTTTTTTTTAATTTGTATTTTTTTGCCAGCTATCCATTGCATCTATTTTCGGTGAGGTAGCACAAATAGCAACAATTTCATTCAAATTGTTTATAAGCGAAAAACGCACGGTTTTTTAATGCACAATTTGAGAATGTTAATGTCAAAAAAACGGTGATATTTTTTAATAGGTCGCTTAATTGCGTCTTTAAGATTACAATGACGCTTTCAGAATCATGTTAGGTTGATAATTAACGCCTGTACAGAGGCTTAAAGTTCATAACTTTTGGAGCCCCCGTTATAAACAAATTGAATTGTGCGAAAACTATTGCACCCACAGCGCCCACTTTAGCACACTTTTAAAGTATGACAAAACCCTCAACTTGTCACAGGTTTTAAAAAATTTTAACAATAAGATTCACGAGATGAGAGATGTCTTGTATTATGTTCCTTTAGACAATTTTACAATAATCTCGCGGATAGAAATTTTTTCGTGTAAAAATTTTATTTGCTTGGCTCAAGAGAAATAAAACAAATTTATGCTCATTTGTTTTTAAGTAGGGAACGGTAATTTTATTTGTTGGAGAAATCTTGGAACTTGAACAAACAAGAGCAAAAAGTCCAACATTAAATTAATAATTATGAAGTATCGTTGATCTTGTGTAACGAGAACAAACAGGAAAGTCATTCTTTTATGACCAAATGGTAAAATCATCACAGACCTTAAACTTCTTTATAGGAAATAACAAAATCCTGAAAATGTTTTTATTTTTATTTCATTAAAAACATCAAATTTATTTTTATATGAAATATATTATTTACAGTAAAAAAATGTAACTATTTTTTCAAAACTGACCTCTAACTTTTAGGTAAAAAATTTAACCTTAGTTCATCTTTAGCTATGCCAAGAGCTTATGGTTATCTTTAAAAGTCACAGACTTTATAGAATGAGTGAATTCTAAGACTTGCATATTTTTAAGGAAACCAGTACTACCTGGGTAACTGATAAATCGATTTATTTCCGCTCATGCAAACTACCCCCGAAGTTATGGTCCATTTTCTCCAAGACACTCTGTATATTATATGTAATAAACATAAATTTAGTTTAATTTAAAGTCAGTCATAAAAAACTGGGACATAAGCCGTAATATAACATAATTACAACAACGTTAGGTATAGCAATTAATACATGGGATATGAATAGAAGGAAAAATAACGAATAAATTTTAATACCTGAACAGCATCACACATACCCGTTGAAGACTGTAAAATTTAAGTCACAACACTAGAACTATACTTAAACTATTATTGTTGCTACCGCTGTTGCGCTGACGTCTGGAACAAATATGATGAAGTGCTTTTTTTAATGTCAGAACGTGTATTTACCTTTCTTGAAGTTAATTCTTGCCTTGGACTGGTTCATTAAATATTTATCACCGTACAACCACCACATAACTAATTCAATAACCCCACCTTTGGATGATTACAATAGGTGGGACATTTAATTTTAGATCTTTCTTTATTAACTTGCACTAATGTAATTGGCTTTATTTATCGATAGTGACTGCTGTAACTTTACCAGAACGGTTTGTCTTTTCTCAAATCGGGAGCGGCAGAAACAAAATTTCGGACAAATCTATCAGTTTCAGGATGTTGAGAGGCTTATCTCTGATGTCGCAGAAATAGCGACATATAGAATTCCATGTGGTAAGGGCCTCTGGATTTGTGCCAGCTGACCGTCACTGACTTATATAACCCGCGGGCAAAATTCTATTTCTGTCGTCTGCTGCTGAACCAGTTGCTCCTCTGAAACGGTGTCATATATTTCAAGGACGACCTACCTTACAAAAAAATTGCTGCAAATAGCGGTCAGGCATTATTAAAAGTGCTTCGATATTTTTGCAACATATAACAGCGTTTTATCGACCGAATATTATTAATAAAACTATTGGAAGTTGCATTAGTTACTAGGTACTTTTTAAAAGAGCAATATCGGTTACTTTTTAGTATCAAATACAACTCTCTCAAGTCCGACAAAAACATTTTTTTTCTTAGAACACCTTGCAGTCTAGTCTAGACGTTTCCATTTGACCTCGGGTAAAACCTTGACCGTTCATTAATAGGACACCCTGTATAATTAATCAGCATTGGTTTAGATACGTTGCTAGAATAGATGAATCAGCAGATAAGCAGGTTCGATTATATTTAAATTATAGACGGTGTTTGAATTTATATTTTCGCGGGTTACGTGATTACTCCAAACATGTCACTTTTCGTAAACAAATAATTTTGCATTAAACTATTAGCTTTCGCTGACAGTTTTATGTTGTCTAAATCTATGAAAACTAGTTTCGCAAATCCTGCCTAGAACACGCTCCACGGATTTGTTCACGAAATATGAATATAAATCGCCGATTTTACTTAACTCGACTGCATTATAAATTCATTACACGCCTATTGTGCAAACAGTTATGAGAGAACACATCCCTTATTTCGAAGCTGAAAAGTCTAAGAAAATTATATTGTTACGATACAGTAACTGACGTCACGGACACATTATTACATCTCATAGTACAATGTCATCTTTTTGTCATTTTCCCTTGACGTGTCGGACTTTCGAGCCCCACGTTGGGCGCCAAGCCGTCTATCACCATCCAGTATGGGGAGAACAGGCATTTCTACCGAGCTCCCCATATATTGCCTGCGGTGCTGCGTTCTGAAATTTTTCTCTGTAGCACTGTAACGTATCTCTCACAGTTTTGATGTGCCGTGTAATAAAAGGTTAAACTTTCAGCAAATGTCAATAAACTGAGGGAAAATAATTATTGCTTCGGTCTATTTTCAAACAGTAATAGCGGGAAAAAATGTATGAGATAGTCAAGTTTGTTTTTTCTGTTAAAAAGAATCTCTGGCTGAAATGTTTTTGTAACAAGTAAAGCTATAACATTTTTTATAAACAACTCCTGTATTACATAAATTTATCATTTCGATTATTTCGATTGTAATAGATTTATCGATAAATCAAAACCCTAACCGCTCGGTAACATAAACTTTGAGAAATGAAATTGCCGAGAACTTGTACAGTTTATTTTTTTTAACATATGATCGAGATGGTTTACCCAAGACGAGTGATAGAAAATATTCAGTAAAATGCAATTTAACAAAGGTATAACAGTGCCTCCCAAACTGTTTACATTTTGGTACTTTTAATATCCTACATTACTTATGGCGCGTAATCATTTCATGATAAAATTATCAGCCAATTTTCAAGGATGATTCTCATCACATCAAATTACTTATAAGTTAATTTATGACTGAAATCGCAAGGGCTTTGTACGTCAGGTGACACATGACAGCTTGCGAGACGGTAGGTGGCAAACAATCGATTGTTTACAATGCGATACGTCAATAATCAGCAGATGCGTAGTAGGCTTTGGATAAACATTTTTGTGGTAACTGGAATTTACTGCTATTCGAGATATAACGCGTACTGTTACTGTCAGGAGCAGGTTAAAGGAAGAGAGATATATTTTTATTCCTATAAGAAGATGTAGAAAGAAGAATCTATTTCTGTTACAGCAAAGGTCTAGAACTGGTTTCAAAGCATAAGAAGAATTTAAATTGGCAGATATTACACAGGTGCAATAAATGCAATGTTATGTTATTGGGATACCTTGTATAATTGTATTAAACATTTAGGTTGGTCCTGAACGTTGAAAATATGAAAATCAAACATTTTTTTACTTCTTTTAAAAATGTTGGACGATTGGTCGAGGGAGTGGAATTTTTGTTGTGCTCCTGCCCACCCCCGGCGCCGCCACTGGACGCATAGCGCCCATCGCGGCTCCTTCCCAAAAAAAAAATCGCCACACGCGAACTAATCGTACGCACGGCGGCGTACGCTACACCCATTCAACCACGCACCGCATCCACCGCCGTCGTCTAAAAATAAACCACACAAACTTACCAATAACACCAATCAATCGGTACGCGAGCGCGACATCAGAAATCCGGCATTCTCCACTCACGAGACACTACAATAGTAGGGCGACGAGACGTGACAGCGCAAAGCTCGAAAAACCACGTGGTCACTGAGCCGGCAGACGCTTGCAAACTAACCATATAGTAGTGTATGCGTGTGCACCTCTCGACGGGACTATGAGTGTTCCAAATGTGTGCAACAGCGGCCTGCTGGCGTATTTCCGTTCCGTTCGTCGATGGACCGCACATACCACTGCTGCACCAACTCTGCAAATGTAAATAAATGCTAGCCACACAACTAAAAAAACGCACAATTCGTGCTCCTATGCCTCGGAAGTAACCCGAACCGAATTTTTTAATCGAATATATAAACAGAACATTTCATGGACGCCATAAAAAACTCCAATTAAATAAAATCAATCAACGGTAAACTCAAGGACAGTCCACGATGAGGAAATGCAAACAGGTTAAAAATACGAGCAGTTGCTGCAATTAAGAGTGAAGCAATTCAAACAACCCAGAATACGCAAAATAACACAACAATAAAAATAAATTTATTATCCAAAAATACGAATACAATTAATTGGTTATCACTCCATATCACTGCTGAACCTGGTGATAGGAACGAATGTTGTCGTGCTGCTGCTTTTGTCGGTGGCAGCGATGCAATATTAAATTTATTTTTAAATGCTGACTTCGTGAAGCATGTGTATTTGTAGGTGTTTAACAACATACTTTTTACGACACTGTAACCGTACAACGCAAAGAGGAAGCGTTCTCCAGCTTCAGCAATGCTTTCCGGGTCAGCATTTGGGTTTTTAAATACCCGAAGCTCGTTTAAATCTCGGTAATTCTTTCATAAATTATTTAAATAAATTTAATATTGCATCGCTGCCACCGACAGAAGCAGCAGCACAACAACCTATCACCAGGTTCAGCAGTGGCATGGAGTTAGAAAAAATGCAGAGCGGTGGGGATGGAAAAAGAAGCAAGAATGGGCTAATTCCTATCACCACACTCGATCTATAGTTCAATTTATTATATAACTATTTTCACCGTAAAGTGAGTCGGAAAGGAAATATCGTCGAAAAACTGTTTTGGAGCGCCATTTTTCCAATATGACGGCTACTTCCGAAAAAAAAGAGGTGGCGAAGTGGTGGGTTTCCATGTGCTCTATGAGTGCACTGATGTCTCGTCAACAAGAGAATCCGTGTTAGGAGAATGGTGGCCTTCATCAGAGAGCTCCCCCTGAATAACGTCATCATCTTTTTGTCCTTGGTAGGTTGGCTGATGGCCCAGGAGAGCTGATATCTGGCTGAGAGGATGCACAAGAGGCCCAATGCTGTAACTCAGTATGCTGAGTTACCCTCCAAACTAATCCAGAATCCACAATAATGAACGGATTAGAGCACAAGCGCAAATTTACTGATGTATGCTACTCAAAAACACATTAATCGAATAGAAACTGTTTTCAGTTAACTGATATTTTATGTGGTACTTAAATATTTAAAAGTATTTCAATATATTTCATGAAAAGGCATCTTGGTGGTTATTTCCATAAAGCAAATATGACTTATCATCAGCAAACATAAATAAAAGTAGGTTTACATATCACTGAGACAAGCTATCAACCAGTTTTTGACTTTAATACCATCTACTCTCGAGAGTTCAAGCTACAAGGATTAGAGCCCAAAGCCTAAGGACTAACTAACAAGCACTTAGTCCTACGTTAGGGACTATTTCCTACATATTAATATTATTCTGTTATTGTTTTCTAAACAAAATTATTACCTGTACCCTTTTGGTAAATAGTAATGATAAGAGACAAACATCTACATTTACCGATCTTGATCTATCACTAGTTTTTCCTAACTTTTTCATAATTCGCGATTTTCAGTCCACTAATGTCATTAACGTATTTTTCACAGTTGGTGGCACATGTATGAGCCAATATCAATACGCACTCCGAACTGTACACCTCTACACCGATCACTGAGATAAATATTTTTTTTCGCTGTATCGATCACCGCTCTATTCTGTTATTGAATAGCTATTATTATGTATAGTTTACATCGTTCGTATTATTCGGAAGCGTATAACCTAATGTTAATAACCGTTTTTAAATCGTAATGCGGGTTCAAAGGAATGTTGTTTGTTACTATAAATATCCCCTTGGGAGGTTAAGTCCGTAAATAACATACCACTTGCGTTATGAAACTAAAACCGTTGAGCTGTGTTAGAATGAAACGTGTATGAAAAAATATTTTGGAGTAAGGACACGTTTTGCCTTCGTATGAGGTATGGAGGACCGCGCAAATTTTGTTTTCATTCCATCCGTCAAACTTGGAAACTTCCTAATATGTCGGAGGCAGCTGGCTTTAGAAAATTAAATTTTCACCATATTTCCTTCTCGGGTGGTGAGGGATAATCAACTTTGTTTCCTTACGTAATATTCAAAGGTGCTAGAGACAAATGGCTCAGGTAGTATCTTGTAACATGAAACTTAAGAGATATGGGACATTCCAAACTAGACATTTTAATCTAACTGAATTATCTTTTGAAGCATTTAGAACATTCAAATGAATGGAGTTTTTTTATGATCAATCAAAAGTTCGTACATGCATTGTAAGCAAATTATGACAATGTACAGTGTACTAGCAAAGCCAAAAACTGACTAAACAATTGTCACGTCATGCGTCATTTAATTTTCGACATACTTTTCTTTCCAAGGTTATATATTATTACACCTAGTGGTAATTTTATCTAGCATGCATATATTTTTAAATGGTTTGTAATTCTCACTTTTTACGTCTCTAAACACATATTATGATGAAGCGTTTTTAGTTTCTATCTATTACACTTAAATAGACAATAAATTGTTTAAGAATTTGAGCGTTAATTTTACGACGTGTAGATTTCTAAAATTACCAGTATAATTTGAACATAAATAGTTTATGTACATTAAACAGAACCACAATCATTTTAATGACACAAAAGTAAATTTTCATCGACAAATATAAGCGGTGCTTTGACTTACATCGACGGTGGAGGATAATTCATAACAGGATGTTAAGCGAATTGAAATTCCGTAAATTATAATACAATTTTCAGTGCGTTTAAATTTTAAACCATTTAGAAAAAAGAAAATATTGGATTCATGAGATTCACATAAGTTTACTGAGACATTCTTTTTAGTAATGGACAAAATACTCCATTTACAAGACTAATAGTTTGGAAATTCGAAAACGATTCAGTTAAAAACAAACAAAATGTCACTTTTCCTTTTAGCAGGACATGTAATAATCTTATTACATGCATATAAATCACAACCTTTAGCTTTGCTTTACTAACACTCTGATTCTTGAACGAACAAAATTGAAAGATCGGTAAAAAAAGTCACACTTCAAATCATTTGACATCCTAGATATAACTGAAACCGTTCTGCTAAAAATTAACAAAATAATGAAGAAAATATTAAGTTCCTTTTACCATCAAATTTAATAATCTTACTGCAGTCTTATGAATCGTAATATTTAGCTTCAATCTGGTTTTTGTACGAATAAAATCAGCAAAAAAAGTCACACCACATGAAGGCCAATACTAAATACATGCTTATAAATCGCAATCTTTGGCTTTTTACATACAATTTATTTCTTGAATGAACAAAATCGAAATATTACTAATAAAAAAGTCACACCCTGACAGTTTAACCACTTCGTTGGTATGTACCGTCCGGTGCAAAGATAATATTTCGCATCAGAACTACCATTGTTTCATTTTACTATCCGTTCGTTATAATACAAACATCGACAGTTATACTGCAAAGACCGCAATAAAATTTCCCTGCAGCTCTTTGCCATAAGGTTGGGTAACGCTTTTTATCCTGCGAAAGGTCAGTGGACTGTTTACAATGTATCAGGTATATTAAGCGTAATTATTTCACTTGTTCCACTGCGAGCCGCTGCTGTCGCAAAAATGCAAAATCGTGCCTCAGCTGTACGTTGGTCGAGTCGAAGGCTGTAGACTGGTACTTTCATAAAATGTAGGTATGCAGGTTGATCTATGCAACCGAAAGTAGAGGTGTTCGAGCCTAGACAGCTACGGGTTTTAATAAAAACAAGTAAGGGATCATACTAAGCTTCGATGAGTCACTATAATTACTGGAATATCATTCTAGGCAGGGCAAATCCCGGCCAGTAAAGTTTTCATCTATGTTTCCAAAAAGTTTCCAACCACCCCAAATACCGAAACCGCTGCAGATGACACCACCAAAGGCCAATGCTGTTGGCAGAATACCCATCGACGACGTGATGTAAAAATACAAAATTCACCTCTGTTTCGAATTTTAGGAACTGAAAAGTTTCCATCGAGTCATCTCGTGATGCGCATTTTATAACAATGTAACGCGCTTTATTGAGACATAAAAGTTATTGAATTGCGAAAAAGATGGCCCAAAACAATCAATTACCCGCAATAAAACTTTAATGGACAAGCTGTTTTTTTTTTGTTTCCGATAAACCAGTTACAAAGGTTATGTTTTTCCATTCCAATATTTGACAAAGTTATGTAACCATTACGACTACGGTAACGTCATTTTGTTGTATAAGATTAATCCTTCCACTACACTGGTCGTAGTTACTTAAAAATCTGTAATTCCCCACGGTTCAATATTTGTCCCCCTTCTAATACACTCATCTATAAATGACATCACTAAGACCACGCTAAATCCTATATTCGAAATTCCCATTAATATTTTTTGTTTTTCCACATCGAAAAAACTTACCCTTAACAATACGCAATGTCAATAGTCAATCAATATTTGTTGTTCCTAAAGTATAGGTAATTGCCGAGCATTTTTAATTTTTATTAGAAACTATCCAGCTAATAATTGAAATTAATAATTTCTGTAGGTCTTCAGACTTATCGACGTGTACCTACCATACGCTTGATTGATTAAGTTTAATTGTAGGATATCGGTAGTCAATAAAGGAAGGGGCGTGGTCCCAGTTGTATGCGTTTTATATACACTCTTCAGATTCGTCGAGTAAATGTTTGTTTAATAGATTAGACGTGTTGCGCCGCTCTTCAAATATCAATTCTGATAAAATTGCAACGATTTCAATGTAATT